AAAGATTTTTATGTTTGTAAGGTATTTGTTACTCCAACGAAGCTCAATATAAATACAAAGAAGTAGAATGTTGATAAGCATACATCCCATAATTTTTCTACAATATTTACACATGTACAATTTTGTTACGTATTTATAAAAAATTAAAAAGCACCATTAGTTACAACTTTGAGGATTTATGCCCCTAAGGAAATGGAATAATTTTCAACCTTGATCTATATATTTTTATTAAAAACTGGGAAATTATTCAATCCTGTACTACAAGAATGTAGAAAGCTACGGACTAGACAGTAACCCATTATAACTTGTCGAACAGCAAATCATTTAACACCAAAACCATTGATTAGTAGAATAATGAACTGGCTTAACCAGAAAGTCTGTAGCTTAAGACTTGTCTGCCATATTGTGTATAAATCATTACTAATAATTCTTTATGATTCAATATGACAATAAGTTAGATATCTTGGTATTATTTATGGCCCATCTTGTATTCCTGACACGCTAGAATCTAGTCCCTAATAAAATTGTCTCTTCATTTTAATATTCTACCCTTTGTTTTAGATTTTATTACACGTTTCTGAAAATGGCGGAATACTGACGTCTTGGTCCTGAATTTGTATTTTTGTAATGACAATATTTTCTTTTGAAATGGTACAAACTACTGAAATGTGGATGGAAGCAACCGTAAAAAAAATTCCATTTGTTAACCAAGAGACGAGCTTTACATTAGAGATTAGGGTGATTCAATATAAGGCACTGGCACAGGGTTAAAGTTATTTTTACAATAATTGTGATGCTAATATGCAGTATGAGTAAATGTGTACCTGAATCCATTATCCTGTTAGGGTACAAACCTTTCCTACAAAATTACACAATTAGCCATAGACTACAAGCAAGGATATTATGTTACATGCATAAATTTGTTGTCTATGTCCTGAGTCTAATTCAGATATCATAGATACTTAAGTCAGTTTAAATTCAGCATGAATTGGTAACGTCTCTGATATAAATGTTTATAAGGAAACTTCATGCCAATGGTTCATTTATACACCTGCTAGGCAATAAAAAATACTTAAATAAAATAGTTTAAACTGAACTGTCGGATATAGGCGTAAACAGTGGTTTGATGTAAATGGTAGAAGTTGGAAGAGCTGTTAATTAAAGAAAGATTTTGGACAAGTTCAAATAAACAGGCAACAATCCTTGCTCCATGACAAACACTGGAGAAGAAATACTATAAACAAATAGAGAAATAAGGAGAGGATTCTCAATATTTTTGTTTATAATTAATTTGAAATTCTCTGATCTGATATAGCTTTAAAGTGTTAACATATAAAATATAAATGTCGCGTTTTCTCTGTTAATTTACTTTCTGAAAATGATCTTGGTGTGAAGAAACTTGAAGTTTTTGTCAAATCTTATCTAATCTAGGAGAAACATTTATTATGTGCGGAAGTTCTCTGCGATATTTTTTTTGTCAAGAGAGATATTACTAACGTCCCAGGGTGCTTCGTGTCATCTCCTAAACTATCATATACTTATGTCTTGCAAATCCCATATTTAGATTGTGTTTGTCGAGACTTCTTGACTTTCTTGATGGCAACTTATATTGATTTAACATATTGCTGTTTCATACAATAGTGTTACCATTTCTATTTTGCTCTTAAAAAGCATTATACCGATTCTACATAATCTATTGCTGTAAAAAAAAAGATCAAGGGGGAAATCTTGGGTATTTGCGAAAAAAGGAAACTCACTTTGCTTAGATTAAATAACGGAACACGATACTACATTTTAGTACGCATTTGTACGCAAAGTTTCAAGAATCTACATTGTCATCGTCAGATGAAATGAGAAGTATAATACAAGAAGGTATATCTATATATTTACATAAATGTTACCCAATGATAACAATGTAGATTGTTGAAACGTTTTGTACAATAAAACTAAATACGATAAAATTGTGATCCGTTATTTATTGTGATCTCTACCCTAAAATGTCGCTTAAGGATTATTTGCTTAGACCACTCACAGAACAGGATTCATTCATATACACATTTGCCGTTTCGACTTTATCTACAATACAATTTCTCAATCTTACCCTGGATTCAGGATATTAAGGTAAATCGAGTTTGATCTCTATCTAGATCATTCAAGTATCCCTTGTCTATTCTGTTCCGAAATAAAATAATATATTTATATATTCGAAAGTTATAATATGAAATAAAAGCATGCCTATATAAAGTTTAACAATATTGGGCTGTTTTGTTGCCTCTCGCTTCTTATTCCCTTAGTACATCATGCAGTAAGAAGCTATATGGAGCCTTTGGACGTAACATTTGAATATTTGTCGTTGTCCTAGATTTAAAGGGATGGGTGCGCAATTATTTCTGACCATGTGTGTCCATAATCATCTTCGTTTTAATGTTAAAATGGTGACTCGTCATTTTAAGATATTCTGTGATATACAGAAAATATGTGTAGAAAAGTGAGTAAAATTTAAAGGAAATTAAACGATTTTCGTACTTTTCTAGTACTTCTGAAGACTATTTACATATTTTCAAGGCTCAAATCAAACCCCCAAAATGGAGCATCTGTCCCTTCTTTAAATTTGAAATCAATTTTTACGGTGTAAACTTAGGAGGAATGCATTTATAAATAAGGTATGTAAAGGATGTCAGCTAATGTGCGTCTGGGATTAGTTGAAAGTTCAGTATGGAAAGGCACATGGCTAATTTAAAAAGTCCAGAAAAGCAAAATAGTAAATAATTAGTGTAAGAAGGTCTGTTGTTGCCGTTACACTACACCTGTCTCATTATGTTAAATAAGTGAAATGATTTGACTTAATGGAAGAAACGTGCATTACCATGAATAAAAGGCGTGTAGTTTCCGGAAGAGAACAACGCGGGACAAACAATACAATAATCAAGAAACGAGGGAATAAATACTCTATGAAACAAATAGTTATTCAAATTTATGTATTTCTCCGTGCGTTTCTCATTATATAATCATTGAGTTGACTTGTCTACTCGACATCGGTTCCTTGAAACCTAATGAAACGTGGAAAATGAATAAATTGTGTCTGTTACAAGATGGGAAATCAATAAAGGTGATATAGATTTGAAATTAACAGGTAATATACGAGTAGGCTAGGTTCATATACATGATAATGGTGTGTTCGTACAAAACATCGTTCTATTCTTCTTACAAAATTAAGCGGCGATCTGAAACTAATTATCCATTACAACAAGTCAAGTGTTGAAAAAGTTGTTTACATATCTCATATGAGTCTCGAATTAGTTCCTATCCAAGTCTTCAATTTCTTGGGTTAGTTTGTTCGTACGAGAGGAATAGAAATTTCTACCCGATTAAACCTGTCCGACTGCATGGGCAAAATGGTCTTGCTCGGATGGGACATAAAACTGAAACGGGTAATTACCTATTATTATAGGTGATGTACGTTTAATATCCCAGAAAAAAGTTGTACCGTTGCCCGTAATCATTAGTTTGTATACAGGAGAAGAAAAGTAGGATGTGAAACTGCTCTTGTCCACCATAACGTTTAATTGCAGACGTAATACTGGGTAATAACATAGTGACGACTGTTGGTGACATTTTATACTTTCTGGTCCCAAATCTAAAACCTGTAAAATCTCTCGTGAGATTTTTTTTAATGCAAAAATACATAATGTTGATTTTTCCGAAAAGTTTTATTACCGGAAATACTGTCATTAATTATCTGGATTTCATTTTTAAATATAGACATTTACAAAACACATTGAATCTACTCTTTCAATTGACAAATATAAATAATGATTTAATAAAACAGTTTACCCTTTTCTTGGTTTCTTTTATAATAAACCTATATGATTAAAAAAGAAATATGTTACTTCTGAAAACATTTTTAAAGAAGTTTTAATGATAAACTGTGATTTATAAAACTAAAAAAAAAAATTTTGATGTGTAAAAATTTAGTTTGATAATAAGTATGTAAGATTAAAATGGTAATAGTTTTAGTTAACTTAAATTCTATATTCAACAAAATATACAAAAATAATCTTTGGTTTAGGCTTTAATAAATTGCCCTCAGAACATAAGGTGAAGTTAATTTCTATTTTTAAGTGAACAGAAATTATTTTATTATTTGCTGGGTTTGATTTTGAAACACAACGACAGATATATCAAAATATATCAATACAGAACCACCGTGTTCAAAAGAACTGCTATACTTAGCAAAAATTGATGCTCAAGATCAGAGGAGATTTTTGAAGAAACGATTATGCTCTAATTGACTAGAACCTTACAAAAATTAACAACTGAATTATACTATTTGAATTGAGACTATGTCATGGTTGTGAATTGGTCATGACATTTCTATTATGAGCTACATAAATATTAAGCCCTCGACATAAACTTTACTTCAAATATAAACAATATAAATAAATTGGCAGATTTTCTCGTTAATATTTCATGTAAAAACTTTAAGCATCTCTCGTAGAAAAATGAGTAGATGGCCTATATACAATAATTCTCGTATTAAAAGTTTCTAATTGATCAAAAATCACCAGTAGAAACCAGCACTAATAAAGTTATTTTACCCTTAAACCCATTCTGACCTGCTAGTCAGTGGGTAGATGAGTTCTCGTTTTTTTTTACTTAGGTGATAGTCAACCACTAAAACTATGATAATCGTACAACGAACACAATACATCTATACAATTTAGCACAAATTCACAGTCCCTGATAAATCGGCTTCACATTTTGTCGACAACACAAAACGAAATCTACATTAACGATGTCACAAATAATTTCCCACTACGGATCACTATTTTCTCTCGACCGCTTTGAATTATGCACAAATTTAATTCGAGATTCGAAATTTATGCACATTCGGAATCAAGATGTAACATGAATTTATCCTTAACCGTTGTCATAACAACAGAAGGAGGTAGATTTATCATCACACGGACGTCCATCATTATAACTTCCGGTTTGGAATTTCAACTTAACGTATCTTTGGTCACCAAGTCTTTCAGATCTTTGTCCTTTTCGCTCGCATCATCTTTTTTGTCACCCGGACGTGTTTGGGAATTAAGTTCTTTTATAGCTTGGAGTTCTTTCTTTTCTTTCATTCGGCGATTTTGAAACCAAATTTTAATTTGGCGTTCCGTAAGACATAACATATGTGATAGTTCGATGCGCCTACGCCGTGTAAGATATCTGTTAAATTTAAATTCTTTCTCGAGTTCTAAAGTTTGAAATCTAGTGTACGTTTGTCGTCCCCTTCTTCGTTGATTGGAATTTGGACCTGAAAATAATACGAAAAATATTATATTATAAAATAATACTAAAATTATATAATTAAATACACTAAAACTGGCAAAATCAAAATACAAAAATAACTTCGAAATGGTTATTTAATTCATTATCTTCAAAAGATATATGGGCATAAATGGCAAACGATCAGTTATACACAACAAATGTCCACAAAATAATAGACACTTTTGAACAGCTATACAAATATTATAATTTGCATTATTGCACAGCTAAACACGTTAAAGTTAAACATTTTGTAACAAATTCTGTGTATGCATTTTTATGGTAAAGATTGTAATATCATTATTATCAGTCATTAGTATATTATGAACAATTTTGGACAAGAATAAATGAAAATAAAATGCCGAATGCAGTATTCAAGTAATATCAACGTTATCAACAATTGACATTACAGAACTTTTATTCTCATTGCCCCATCGACTGTGGTTTCACTTTCTTAACATTGCAAAATTATGTTCTGGATTTTTTCATGCATGTGCAAAATCTATGTACTAAATACTTTATACCTGTTATTACATTGGCATTGGCAAGTATTAGCAAAACTGTAATTGACTCGAAAGAGTTCTAACCAAGGTTAACATATTTACCATGAGAATGATTTAAAATAGGTGGGTTAATTGGCAAGTTTCTAGATTAAAATCGTAGTCATGTTAAAATTCTCGCTATCACTTACAATAAATTAGTGAAGCTTCAACCAACATCTGTGTTCCAGTGACAATGCACGTGTTTCTCACAAGAAAAAATATCTTTAACATTTTTACGTCAGACTTCATTTTGGGGACAATAATTCAGTACATGTCATGTAAAGATATTTGGAGAAACAAAAATAGCTAAGTAGTTAATCATTAGATAGAAACCTTCTACCAAACATCGGAATGCTTCGAATTTTATAATGGGAGGACAAGATGAGATGGTTATTTGTCGGCAATAGGGACAACTAATTTCTTTGAGTGAACACTTTCTTAAAAGGATTTCAAAATCGATTAGGACCACATCACTTCTAAAATTCACATTTGTTTTCTTCCGAGCACAGCTGTATATAATCTGGGAAGGTGGCCATTTCAGAACCACTGAGTTATTGCTTTAACAAAAACATTCGTCACTGATTTTATCTCGAACATTTTCGCTTGCCACCATTATCCTATACTACGTTTTATGGGTTATGAAAACGACGCTGTAGAGGATAGAATTTGCACGTGCAAGTTAGAAAATAAACATGTCTGTCCAATCTTTATCGACTGTGACAGCTGAATATTTTAAGTAAGATCTCAAAAATATAAAGAATGTAGAACTACTATTATGAACTACTTAATCAACACCTAAGTTGATTTTACTGTTTTTTCATACACCTAGGAAATGTTCATCCAATTTTGTTAAAGTTATGGAACAGTTCAAATTATAGACATATTTGGCGCTATAGTCTATTATATTCAACGGAAATATTTTTGGTAGCGTTTCCAATCGTTGCCATTCCAATCCCTTATGTTAGTAAGGTTTATTGGTGAATATCCAAATACCGAAGCCCGAACAAAAAGAACCAACAAACGTTTTCGATAATTTAAGTATTTCCAACGTCTATACTCTGTTGGTAAAATAAATGTTGCGATAACTTGATAAGGCGTAATAAGCTAGAATTTCCATACACAAGAGCATATACAATTAATATTAAGATATATATTTTGATACTGGTTGTTGTGATGTAATACAAATTGTTGAGAAATATATCATGATACTGGTACGAATACTATAATGTTGTGATGTAATAAAAAGATTGAGATATATATCATGATACTGGCTGTGATACTATGTTTTTGTGATGTAATAATAGCTATTTAGATGCAGTTCTTCGATAGGATACTATTGTTGTTGTGGTGTAACATAACTATTGGGATATAGTTCTTAGTTGAGATACTATATCGTTCTTGTGATATAATATATTAACTATTGAAATATAGCTCTTAGTTGGGATACTATATATTGTTCTTGTGATATAATATAACTATTGAGATATAGCTCTTAGTTTCGGTACTATATTGTTTTTGTGATGTGATATAAGATACTGTTTGGGGTCACATTGTACTGTGATGATATTGTAACAAAATGATTGATATTTTATAGCATTTTTAGAAATGGAAACTCTACATGGACAATTATATTTAACTCTCTGTATGATATATGAAAGTTAGCATTATTTGGATATAATAACCAGAGGTGGTACTTTCGTTTTAGATTAGAACTTTGATTTGGAACACATAAATTTATACTTTCTTATTGCATATATCGAAATTGATGTGATGATGTAATACTTAAACCCGTCTGCAGTTTCGTTCAAATTAAATTTGGGTATTCACCTATTGCCATGGTAACGAGATACTTAACATATTATTTTTGAGAGCAAATATAATTTTTATTTAATCGATGGACATGAAACAATTATAACTTAGTTAAAACTACTCTGTTTACATCAAGTTCAGTAGACAGACTTCAATACGAAGAATTTAGTCTTGCCGTATAAATCTTAACTTCAAAGTAAAATATTTTCATTCAAAAACAAATCTATAGGATCATAATATTTTTCTACAGGCTAGATGATTTATGAAAAAATGTTCTGTATTTTCCATTCTCTGCTGGTGATATTAGATCTAAGAACATAAAAAGCTCTATCGACATCGTCGTATTTATAAAAACACAACATGCATGATTAGCTTTTATCACACAATCGTACAAAGCTGCCATCAAAAAGTATGCTTTATGGCTTAATAAGCGTATGATTACCATGCAAGTATGAAGAAAAGTCATTTGCCAGTTGGTGAACTGAAAATGTCATGAGCATCTTTTCCACAGGGAGTTTGATATCAGTAGATGGAACTCTATTAAAAAGATACCTTGAAATTAGATACTGTGAAATTAATCATTGACTTTTCTCCGAACTGTTGTCGAACATTGTAAAAACTCCTTATGCAGGTTTAGGATGCATGTGATATTTTTTAAAACTTCTTTGTAGTTTTTGAATTTTCCTGATAGATCTTGAATTTCTATATGTTTCATATGTGCATTTGAGCTTGTAAATATTGTAGAACATTTCTTATGTCTGGAAGTATCCTATAGTGCGACGAGATAATGAGATTTTATGATGTTATAATGAATAATTTATTAGGTGATGACCGACTTCTATATGACTTATAACTTCTACAGGCCTGACAGAGTAGTGGTGTACATCATTTCAACGTGTTAAAATAGCCAAAGGTATGGGTCAGGGGACATAAATCTATTAACAAAACTCATAAAATATCAAATGTAAAATTTACCGGTGTAGAGTTTGAAATTATGAATGATATACTGTTGTAAAGTTTTAGTCAATTAAACAGGCCGTATATTAGTGTTAATAAAAGCCAGTTTAGTGTTAAACCATTTGTTCTGGATTCCTAGCACATAAATCAAGATTAGTTTCCATTAAACAAAGAATTATAGCACAATCTTAAGTATAGTGGGTTTGTGTTAATCCGATGTTTGTTGATGGCTTTGTTAGTAACCTAAAAACCCTATCAATAATTAATTATATTATCTTGTGAAACTTTCCTGATGCCAGATTCCTTACTTAAATCGAGATTACCAAACAGCAATTCTATCCATTATGTATTCGAGCAGATCAAACTTAATTTATTCTAAACTGGAGAAATTTGAAAGCCTCCGCTGAGAGATTTTTGAATTTCATACAGTCATAGAACGATTTTAGCAAATTTAAGAAACTCATTTTGGCAGTGTTTATGCTTGATAATGTAAAAATTTCAACTTATAAAAAATCCGAAAGTTTATTGTATGCCACATAAAACACATCACGAAAATAATGAAAATATCAATAAAAGCTAAAAATTGTAAGGGTCTGAATATGATGCTTTTCACCAAAAGACAATTTTAATATTATTTTTCTGATCAAGAACAGCTGTAAAATTAGCATGTATTCATTTGCTTTCTGCACTTTGATGTTCCCAAGACTTAGTGACTAGAACAGATGTAAATAATTGTCAATTCTATATTTTCCTTCTTAATTGCCAACAATAGCAAAGTTATTTTAATTTTAAAAACCTTCATTGAATTACGTTACCTATGAGCACGACAGATAAAAAACTAAAAAAAAACTTTGGTAATATATCATACAGTTAAGGTGGAAATAAAGCCAAACTTGTTTTTCATGTTGAATATTTTTATAGCCCTAAGTCCATTCATCATGGTTTATTTGGAGGAAAAATATTTGGGTCATTTGTTTGCAGACAGTTATACTTTAAAACATGGAAACATGTTAGCTGTATGGGGCAATTACAAGAAGTATTCGTGATAGTAACATTATGTCTACATGTTATGAGAAATACATGTTAATACTATGAATACTTTCAGGCTAGTTTTACTAGTTTTTTTTTGTCTTTGAGTTATTTGGTACAAACTTAAATTTCTGTTTAAAGAAATATTGGTTAAATAGAAAGTTAAACCCTTACTTCTATCAGGAGAGTTGTCATTCAGTAAATAATTATTTCAGTTGATGACTTAATTCAAACCATTTATTTTGGTACTTCTTCTTAAATTTTCAAGTTCAATATTTTAAGGAGAATTTATACATTAAATAATAATTTTAAACCAAATCAAAAATTTGTAATTATAGAGCCTCTCCATTCAATACAAATATAATTTAATTGTAAATATTTTAGTTTCTTCTGTTTCTATTTATTAATCTTTATTGAAAATGAACAAATACCTAAATTATCATTTACATTGTATCTTTAAGTTATCGTCTATTCATTACTACAAGAAACCTGTCTTTAATCAATAATTATTGCAAGGGCAATTGAGGGGACTCGTCTACCTAATCACGACCATGATTGTCTGTATCATAAATGAAATTCATGAATTGAAATTTTAAATATACGACTGAGGCAATACAACTAATTGACATATGAGATGTAAATCATGAATAAAACTTTGAACTGAGCTGTTGTAATGAAGTATTTTACATATTTAGTCTTCTCATTTATGCCCTACACAAAAATATGAAGTCCAAAAATGCAACATTTATGTAATTCAATCTGCAAATTCTTATTTTATTACTCTATATTTATTATCATAACATAAAATTAAATATTGATATGAAATCATGAAAAATATGTTGTGGTATTTCTCTATGTGATTATTATTCTAATTTCGATTTTAAAAAATGAAGCATCACATCTGCTACGAAGTTTCATTGTCATTTCATTGGACATTTAAATATAAATTTTATTGATACGTTTATTTTTCGTTTTGAATTTGAAATAAGTACCAGTTCAAACAATTCTAAATAGCCTACATAATTTGAATTAGAGTCCCGTATTGATGTATTGTGATATTCCTCTTTTAAAACATATAATACATCACTGAGGCGATTTTTCGCCTCAATTTTGAATTGAAAAAACTTCAACATTCAAAATATTAATGTAAAGGTTCTAGTCAATACTGAAGTGTGTATCGATTAGTAAAATACAATACAAGGTTTCTGATAACATGACATTCAGTTTAGCCTTATATTAACATGATTATTGTATTATAACATAATTACGTCAATATAACATAATAGTGAATGAGTTAACAACATCAACATCTATTGACTGTTACACGATCATTTTCCACCATGTTACAGAAATATATTACAAACAGAATTAGCATACAGATGGTGGCTAATATCCCCATTGGAAATCTAAACATAAAATCTCTACTAAAATGGTAATAAAATTTCAAAACGACTTTTCACTTTCAATAGAAACATTTGCTCCAATTTACACTCAAGTGAGAAGCGGTTTAATGCTCGAAAACGAAGATATGGGTCCCTCAGTCCAAGGTTTACAGCCAAAAATTTATGTGGATAATGAAATTTTATGGAACTCTAAGGGCCATGTGTGTCTAGAAAGTGATATTTACTTTAATGAGAATGGAAGAAATAATTTTTCCGTGCTCCAATTCTATTAGTCGAAGGTGTATACATTAAAGAGAAGAAGCTGTAAAATCGCTATGACTGGGTCAATGCGCAGCCTTTTAATTGCTCCCGTTTTATTTTATGCTGAGTTTATGATGGAATTTTATCGGTGTAAAGTAGTAAAACGTACTAACCTACAATTGACATCCATGGATAAAAGGAGGGAGTCTCCGTATCACCACCATTTCCACCAACATCTTTAGTGAGAGGACTAATGTTGTCTGTTCTTACCATGTGTGACGGGGTACAGTTAGCCTGTGGATCCGGACATGTTTCACCAAATCGCATACCGTGCATGTTCATATTTGGATAAAAGGACCGGTTAGCCTGGAGACCCATTCTCAAATCGTGATTTCTCTGTTGTAAAGCTGCATCCATACGGCAGGCATCTGTGTTATAGGAACCATGCATGTAGTATCTCGGAGTTCGGTAATTTCCAGTCGGACATATATCGGGGATGTTTAGAAAATGGTCCATATATCCCGTATTTTCAGCACTGTGTAGATCCTCTCTCGGCGCTCCATGCCGAACCGGGAGATACGAACTCATTTTATATTGACAATCTTCGCTTATTCCAGTGTTTATCCCTTCTGAAACCATGAAGAAGAAAAATAATTTTAGTTGCAGAAAGTCAATGAAATGGTTCCTAAACCCTTCAACCTTACTTCACATAAAATAGAACATTTAGACGACAGCCAATCGTTAGCAGCCTTTCTGACCCGATTTGAACCGCAACCTCATTACAGTGGATAATCTTTCCTTCCGCTAGAGAAAGCAGTCCCGTGTTACTATGTTATTTTGAGAAATGTTGACTATAGTCAACTGGAGTTTTAGTGGTAATATAAATAGAAAATTAATGATATACTCAAATTCGGTGAGATTTTGGGATAGATATAATATTGAAAGGTAAGCTTAACGAATATCCCTTACCACCCTATGTCGCGTGCGATGATGTATATTCACTTCAAAGGAAAATGTCAAGCACTTTCCATATTATATAGTAATTTTTCAAAATACTTCTGGCAGAGCGAATGAGTGAGCTAATCTAAATGATAGTCGAATCTATTCAGTATGCCTAGTGACGACTCAATATAGCATGTGTAGTATAGGAGAACAAACAATATTGACTTCATGTGGCGGTAGACTTCTAATAAATCAGTTGTTTGTACTGTGGGATAGTTATTATTAAATATATCTACATCACACTATATATTAGATACAGATCTTTTTTCGGTCAGCTTTATTTCTACTCCTCGATTTATTCTTGTTTGATTATCTAGATTGGAATAATCTTTCAGACATTATATTTTCATAAATGTTGCTTAATATCTATATTACCCCGATATTTCCTATTTTGTTCTAAAAAGCATCAATCAATGTTAGAGAGAGCCACCCCTTCAATCGACCTCCTCTATCCATATTAATCATAGTAATTTGTTTTTCGAAATGAACATGGTTTCATCAATACTAGCATTATTAGTGAGGATACAATTTCACCTAATTTGCATATTCATTAATGGTTGTTTTGGTAATAGTGTGGACTGAATGACAGCCTCTTGGTGATCTTGGTTTCACATGATTTGATTTAAGATGGTGGCACGTCGACCTCTCACAGAGTGACTTTTCTCTTTCTGGCTATTTTCATATTTCACACTGATCCTAAAGTTAATGTTTTGTCATGAGAGAGTGTGTGACAAATGTGGCGACGAATTAGAAGTGAAAGTCATTTCTATAAAGAATGGATGCTCACACCTAACGCGTGTAGTCGACAGAATTCTACGGATTATTGCCCCCAAAAGAATTCCGGGCATTCGTTTACGGTTGAATTTAAGTACTATGTCTGGAGTCAAACCATTGAATTTAATGTATGTATTTTTACCATACGGAATACAACAGATCTTCCTATCATGACCAGGTGTATCGCTTTTGTTATTATACACATTTATACAAAGTGTTTTAACCGTTTTTTCTTTCAATATATCTATTGCTTATCTATACTTCTGATTAGAAAGGGCATGAATCAGAGTTGCCTCTTAGTTCTTCATTTATTACTAATGTTTAAGGCGAGTACTGAAAACAATAAAACACGCAGAATAAATTATTTTCTTTTTCCCAGCTACTAGATAATGTCTTAATTAGCCTATTAAATAATATAAGAATTATCTAGTTCGTGAGCATGACTAATTCTTTTATTCTTCTATTATTCATCTTCTCATATCTTTATTAAAGATAATGAAAGTAATATATATATTCTGTGGCTTGAAATGTAATTGGTACAACTAAATAAATTATGTTATATACCCTTTTAGTAAATGTAATAATATGAATTTTACGATTTTAGTAAAATTATAATTCCGAAGTCAATCGCACAATTCATGTTAAAATGATGAATAATATACATTTTTATGAATACTTTTCATGTAAAAATCAGTTGAAATTATTTAAATGAAAAACAGAAGCTTAAATAAAAATATGTAGAATAAGTTATATTAAAACAGACTACTTAAAAGAAAATCTTTTGAAATAAATTGAAGTGGACATTGGCCAGTTTTAATTCTGACCATTCTACCAGATGGCCTGTATCCTCTCAATTATCTCAACACCTCTCTCCTAAATAAGATTATATATATGATACAGAAACAGGCCATATCAAGTTTGTTTTTCTATTTATATAAACCTATCATCTCTTTCTAAACTAACATATTTATCATGTTGTCCCGAATCAAATTTCAAAATAACCAAACTCACCAAAATAATAAAATGTTACGGTATGTGATAACCAATAATACGCCACTTTTACGAACAAGGTGTTCCATTTTTCTTTTATTTTGAAATAGGAATATTTCACATACTAGTAACTTAAAAGTAAACAAAAATTAATCAGAAAATTTCTCGAGGTTCCTATAATGATTATTATTTAAAAAGTAAAGGTAAAAGTTAAAGAAATGATTACTATACAATTATATCTCCAGATTTTTTCATACTTTTGCACGAGATTTTTGGTTAATGGAATTGTTTTGCGTGTACAGATTTTATTAGTTTAAAATGTTAGCTAATATGGACTTTTAGGAAGGGTTGAAAAATTGGTATATCCAAAGTTGGAACCGTTTGAATTGTTTAACAGAGGTGAGCGAGTAAGTTTACAGTAATGCAGTACACTTTGAGGGTGTTGTCTTGGCCATCTTCGACATTTTTTAATTGCTAAAGAGTCAGTGGCAATAATACTGTTCATAAATCAATTGATATAAACTTTAAACATCCTTAAATCATTGGATCAAAGACGATTTATTTATCTTTTACTTATTACTTAATATATTAAATTTAAACCAACAAAAAGATTGATAATATTATTAGGATTTTATGTGTCCTGTTCAAGATTTACGATTCGCAAGTCCGTCTTAACTTGATTTGAGGCGTGAATTTATCAAAGAACATAAAAATAATAAAACTTGTAAGCAGCCAGTGAAAGGGCAAGGAAAGAAATAAAGTGAGATATACGGGGAGACGTGTCGACTATAACATTATGTCGACAAAACCAGATAATAACAAACTGAATTAGGAAATATCTGTATTGCTACAACTTGATCTTGATGTGTATTTGTATTTGTCACTGATTATACTAGATGGATCTAGGAAATTATTATTATTAACTATAAACAAGATAATACGAAGTAGGAGCCATTGATAAATTGTATTGATTATAGAATACTACATTTGTTTCTGTTCTATTTAATGTAATTACCATATTAATATAATAATGTACATATAGGAAGGTAAGGAAGATTTCATATTTTCTTTATTTTCCGTTCTTAATCAATACCCTCATATAATTTACAAGTAAAATCCATTTTCCAAGATGGCTACCGTAGACGTTTTCCGTTTTTCTTGAAAGAAAAATCAATAATATACATAAAGCAATTTTATCATTTATCTTTATCAAATTTTCTTCCACATTTTGTGAAATTATTTACATCTTTAGATGTTTCTCTCTATTGTTCCGCTCACTTCTGTTGAGATTTTCAAGCGTAACATTAATGCTTTAAAATTTTAACCTTTTTTCTGTCTGATATTGAAAATGTAGCCAAGCGAATGATCATACAGACATTTAGTAACAAATGAATTTTCCGGTTATTATAATTTACCTTCATTAAATATTCCTCCTCATGTTTTCACACATATTAACATTCAACATTTGAATAAATCCACATAATGAATACCCATTATTTTCTTTCAAAAGCTTTGATGCTTTCGGCATGTATGACCATGCATTTAACAATTTTATGGTGTTTTATTGTGCTCCGATTTGTTGACTTTTCAAAAATTGTTCAGTTGTAACAGTGCATGGCATGTGTGGCCAAATTAGTCACCGGAATCAAACAAAACCAATTTGTTAGAAAATACAAATAATAAAGTATCTTTTTATGATAAAATACTAGCAGTTCTTTTCACGAAAATTATAAATTATAGATTTTGTTATACTAAAACTAAGGATTCATCCGACAATAATCGAATATAATTGTCAATTTGTTAAGATAAAGTGTGAAATATGTTGATTTAGAAATTATTGAAACTAATACTTAGCTTGTATGTATTTCCTAAAGTCCAAAATATCCTGGAATTAACATAGGTATTATTTTCCCAAAAGTGCGCTTCATTAACGAGCGAGTTCTTAATGATAAATACCAGCAAATTTGGAGAAAAAATGTGTAGAATAGAACTCTAGGATTTGAAATGCCTCGAGCTAAGATTATTAAAAATCACTGTCAATTTGCAATAATTATGGATAGTAAATAAGTCAGAAATAAAGATTTTAATAGGACATAATCAGTTCTTGCTCATTATTCTTAATTTCTAAATCTCCTTATAGCCAATGGAGATAAATATAAGTAATTCCTAGGCATTTTTACGAGGCATTTTATAGTAGTTTATTAGTACTCTATGTCTGTGGTCCGTAGTATGTTTTAGTAAATAACCAATGTATACAGTTTCTCCAATCACTTTAACAGAATTTGGGATTTAATTGCATGGAAATATTTAAAGTAAGTCTTCCATAAATCATAGTATTTTAACCTTGATGCCAATATTTCATTCTTTTCAAATCTAAAGCCTAATTAATACCATCATTAATTATGCAAATATGGAGTTTTAATATTCATGATTTTTTGGTGCGTTTCTTTGATTTGATTGAATGAAAAAAGAAGATAAGAGAAGCGTTTAAGTCTGTAAATGTTTGAATCTAAGAGGTAATAAATTATGTCTATTTTAGTTGGTAGTTAATCTGCAAGAATTAATAAGATCAATTTGATAGCAGATATTATCATAAAATTCTTAATCCCCACCATTATACGATATGCTTAACTCACAATATTTTCTACAAAAGACGCATTCAGTAGAAAAAGATGAAAGATGCATTGCCAATCGATAGCGTGACGGAGTTCTCAAAGTTCGGCAAAAACATACGATAGGTTCATAGTTCGGCAATTTTAAATGTCGCAATATAATATTCGCGAATGGATGTAACTTTTTCAGATAATTATATATTTCAAATA